ACTACTACTACTACTCTATACTATATAACTACACTAAACTATATATACTATACAATAGTGTTGTTACTATATACTATATAACTACACTATACTATACATACTATACTATACTACAACTATTCTATACTATATTATTACACTATACTATAATACTATTCTATACAACTACTACTATATACAATATAACAACACTATACTACATATACTATACTATACTACTACTACTTATACTATCTATATTACATTATATTACTACTACTTTATACTATATAACTATATTATACTATAATACTACTCTATACTATATATACTACACTATATTACTACTACTCTATTATATATAACTACACTATACTACAACTCTATATTATATAACTACACTACACTATATATATACTACTACTACTCTAAACTATATAACTACACTATACTATATATACTACCACTACTCTATATAGTACTACTACTACTACTACTCTATATTATATAACTACATTAAACTATACTATATACTACTTTATATACTACTACTACTACTATTATTCTATATTATACTATAGATACTACTACTACTCTAAACTATATAACTACACTATACTCTATATATTACTACTCTATATTATATAACTACACTATACTATATACTACTACTACTATTCTATACTATATAACTACACTAAACTATATATACTATACAATAGTGTTGTTACTATATACTCTATAACTACATTATACTATACATACTATATTATACTACAACTATTCTATACTATATTATTACACTATACTATAAAACTATTCTATACAACTACTACTATATATAATATAACAACACAATACTACATATACTATACAATACTACTACTATTCTATACTATATATATTACATTATATTACTACTACTTTATACTATAACTCTATACTATATATACTACACTACATTACTACTACTCTATACTATATATACTACACTATATTACTACTACTCTATACTATATATACTACACTATATTACTACTACTCTATTATATATAACTACTCTATAACATATATACTACACTATACTACAACTATATATTATATAACTACACTACACTATATGTATACTAAAACTACTCTATACTATATAACTACAATATACTATACATACTACCACTACTCTATATAGTACTACTACTACTCTATATTATATAACTACATTAAACTATACAAAACTAAACAATACTCTATATACTAATACTCTATACTAATAACTACATTAAACTATATATACTACTGCTACTCTATAACTACTATATTACTACACTATTATATTTTATTATACTACTACTATATTATATATACCACTACTACTACTACTCTATACTATATAACTACACTATACTACTACTACTCTATACAATATACCTATACTAAACTATAATACTACTATTTATCTATACTATATATATACTACACTATACTACTACTCAATTATATATAACCACACTATAATATACTATACTATTTTATATTATGTAACTACACTACACTATATATATACTACTACTACTCTATACTATATAACTACACTATACTATAAATTAGTAATTTGATATTAAATCGAATTACCTCAAATTACCACAAATCCTAAAACATCCAATATCCGTTAAAAATATATTTTCATAAATAATTAATGATTTATAGGCTCATAAAATCAATATCTTTTAATATAAAAAAATGCAGGAAAGACTATTAAGCAACACACTTTACAGTAACATATATTATGAAAGCAGTTCTATTAACAAATGTCCCTTCTTGCTATGTGAGGTGGTGGATCAATTTAGACTTCATTTGGAACAACTTTTTTATTATTTTTTAAAGCAGCTTTTTAATACTAGAAAGCTACTATAAGAAACAGTAAGAAAGCCGTTCCAAACAATAAATTAGTAATTTGATATTAAATCGAATTACCTCAAATTACCACAAATCCTAAAACATCCAATATCCGTTAAAAATATATTTTCATAAATAATTAATGATTTATAGGCTCATAAAATCAATATCTTTTAATATTAAAAAATGCAAGAAAGACTATTAAGCAACACACTTTACAGTAACATATATTATGAAAGCAGTTCTATTAACAAATGCCCCTTCTTTCTATGTGAGGTGGTGGATCAATTTAGACTTTATTTGGAACAACTTTTTTATTATTTTTAAAGCAGCTTTTTAATACTAGAAAGCTACTATAAGAAACAGTAAGAAAGCCGTTCCAAACAATTTTATTTTTTTACTGACAAATGAATAAATAAAATTGTAGAATTAATCTCAACCATCCAAATGATTGGAATAGCTGTGATCTATATACCAAGATGCTCCATCTCAACCATCCAACAAAAAAGAGAACCAATGAAAACAAGCTATAGAAAACCAATTTCACACTTGAAATTCCAATATAAGAAGTTTGTTTGTAGCTGAAGAGGATGAACACAACTAAATCAGACAAAGAAGACAAAGCATGCACAAAATTTAAACAAAAAAATGTCCGATTCAGAAAATTCTCCTTATATATGCTCTCTATATAAATATTCACTCCAGGATTTCCAAATATTAATAGCAAAGCAGAAAACTTAATAGCAGGATAAAAACAAAAAGCTTGGAGTAAGCTAAAATAAGAAGTTTCATACCAGCACTACTGCAAGGCACATCTGATCCACTGAAGCAGCCAGTTTTCTGCTCAATACCTTTCCCACCTTCTTCAAGAACAAAACTAGAATTACTTGTTTCATTGCTGAATAAGATGCACCAATAGAATCCTCCATGTTTTTCGCTTATAAAGCCTGCTCCTAGCTCTGTGAGGTCTCTACCATGCATAAGGGAGATTGTTCTCTTGTCTCTGATGAGGACATTAGAGAAAGCTTGTTCTGGGTTTAGAAAATTCCAATGGCAGCCCAAAAGATAGCCTGAAATAATTCCAACAGTCGCTAATTCTACCCCACAATTAGGAGCATAGACCTCAGTTATGTCAACTTCTGGGGGATGACAGGAGAGTGTGTTGTTGCTGCTGCAATTTCCTAGGCATTGAGATATAAACTGCAAGGCCATGCATCCTAACCCAGGATTGTTGTACAGTTTCCTTAGCTTGGTTGCAGTGCGATTTGCATTGACAAGTTTGGCAATCTCATTAGCAGGATTTCCTGAAGGAAATCAACAGAATTGTGATATATCTATCATAAACTGCTTCAGATTTAAACTACAATGTATAAACTCTTGACACTAAATCGTGAGTTGCACCGAGAAGAGTCAAAAGAGATCAACAGTGGCTGAGTTTGAAGGCAAGAAGAAACTAAATTAATTCTACAGAAACGACTTGGTTAAACCAACTTAAGCTGCATCATCTCTAGTAGAGTACTTTCATGTGTGGTTGAGTACTCTTGCAGCTGAATACTCTCTAGATTGGACCTGAGTTAAATGTGTTAGTTGTATACTTGTATAGTTAGCTCTAGGAGTGCAAACGAGACAAGTCTAGCATGAGCCACCCCAAGCTTGAGCCTGAGCTAAATCAAATAATTAAGTTTGAGTTTGAGCTAAAACATAATTCTATGAGTTCAAATTGGCTCACAAAAAAGCTCATTTATTATGAAAAAGAATGCCATTCTTCGAGTAGTTACAATCATGACATGATAAAAGAAAATCAATTAACTATGAAAAAATAAGAACTCACTTGAAATAAGAAAAAGATATATATATTTTTAAATATTTTGATCAACGTATGCTAAAATCATTGAGTTCTAATACATTTTAAGAGTATGTTATAATAACATTTTTAAAAGAAACAGCTCACAAACTGACAAGTCGAGCCAAAGTTAGCACAATCTTAATCTCTTAGCTCATCAAGTTCGGCTCAGAAGCTATTTATCGAGTTAAGCTTGAGCCAACTAACAAGCCGATTTGACTCAATTACACCCTTTAGTTGGTTTTCATATGCCAAGGTAGTAAGCAGTTGTAGTTTCCAAATAGAAAATACTCAGTAAGAACCGACTAGGAGTATTCACAAGATTATGTCGTGCTCATAGCCAAGTAGTCTTAATTGAGTAGTAGACCAACTTGTGACTTGACTGGAGCAACTTCATAGTTATCAATAAGGTGGCTTACTCTATGTCAAGTAGGTGACAAGCTTGTAGTTGATTTATAACCGACTTCCTTTGGCAACTTGTATTGAAAAATTACTTTACGTAGCAATTGACTAAATAGTTTGTAACCTTCTTGGAAATTACTCGTTTGAATCATGGGATATAGTTCCTATGAAATGTTATCCACTGAGTGCGTCAAAGGTGTTTGTGGATGAGTAGATTGAGAATTGATGACCAGGTAGTGTTCCGGGTTATGGTTAAATAATGAGTCATTGCGACAAGTGAGACAGAAAAAAAAAACTTTTTCTAAACGGACTACCATATGTTGTGTGTATCAAGTAAAAAAATGAGAGCCCAATATCTATTCAATAATTTGATTGAGCAGAACTTGTGGACAAATGCTAATGAAAGTAAGTGCCACTCTTCTTGGATACATGTAAAGCTACCGCTTAAGCTATGCGATTCTTCAATGGTCCTCAACTTCTTTAACCATTTTAAATAGGTTGAGCTAAATGATGGGACTATTCATGTAGATTCAAAGAAATGGGCTAAAAGAACTTGTGTCATAATCATTAGAAAATCTTACATGTAGAATCTACCATGTGTCATAATCATTAGAAGACCTTAAATGTCGACAAAGAGTAGGACACCTAATCATATGGGAGGCCATTCCTCACAACAAAAGGAGAGGAATAGGAGATGTCGCTTATGAAGCCCGTAATGATGAACATTTTTTGTAATAACTATAAATAGAGAATAAGTTCTAGCAAAAGAGATTATCATTCTTGGAGAAAGAGAGGGAGAGGGCCATCATATTAGACGCAACAGGAGTCAATTCTGAGTAATGGGAATCATTGGAGCATGTTCAACACTTTATGTATACATCTTAGATATAGAATGTTAATGGGCCAGTGTGTACTATTTATAGATTTTTCCCCATCATTTGCTTGCTCAATTCCAACCCCACATAGGGGTATAAAGGCTTATTGTTGTTGTCTATTTTTTTGCTCAATTATTGCTATTTAAGACATCCAAGTCTCCCATGATCATTAAACTCTTGCTTACATTATTTTCTTCATGATTACAGGTTGTTTTTGTTGAGCTAATCCCTGATCATGATAGATCTACTTTATTGATGTTGAGCTATATCTTGTTCATACTATGTCAAATTTGTTATAACATTTCTCACTCAGCATGTCTCACCCTTATTAATACACACGCTAGGCAAGTGTTAACCAACAGTGCTCAACAGGTGCCAACTAGTAGCAATCGACAGGTGCCAACTAATAGTACTAAGCAGATGTCGACTAATAACACTTCGACTAAGTTGTGTACTCGTAGCCAAGTAGTAGTAACAGACTAATGTCACTTAAGCGACTTCATAATTATTAGTGGGTGACCTATTCTATGTGCCGAGCAACTTAGCAGTAACAAGCTTGTAGCATGTATATGATTGCTTTTATTGTCAAATTGTAGTATTTAGGCAGATTGAGAATGGGAGGCCATTGCATTATTACAAGTTATGGATGAGCAGCGAGTTGGATGGATTAGCATGTTTTATCCCTTTGGCAAACGAATGAAGGCCTACAATGATTTCCATCAGTAGTTAGGCTGAGTAGACATTGTTGGCACCACTAACCGGAGAAAGTACTCCTCTAATTCCATGCATGTACAAGTTACCAATTCAATACATTCATGGCTCTTGGAATATAATTGTTAGTCTTATTGATCATGTTTCTTTCATGATTATTGTCATTTACGTTGAGATTATTCTTGATCATGATGTCTGCTTTATTAATATTGATCTAATCATTGCTCAAGCTTTGTCTATATTATTATTTTATTTCCTATTGAGCATCTCTCAGTCTATTAATTTGCATGTTATTGGAAAAGGTTTGAACGACGGCAAGGGAGAGCATGGCCATGGTCAACTAATAAGGGAGGTTAAGTTGACTTAAATTTTCAATTCTTGGTTTTCCTTCTTGCCCGCCATAACCATGCCTTCACCATACCTCCATCATTGTTCCTCCATGATTTCAACTTGATCAGAATTTGTTGTTTTTCCCGCCGGTTCTTTCACCTTTGATGCCGTTGTTTGGATTTTATTCTCTAATAACTTCTTCATCATCGCATGAAGATCGGAAACCTTGTCCTCCACGGAATATATTTGATCTTCCACCGTAGCTTTAATTTGGCTCATCTCTCCATCAAATCTTTCTTCCAATGCGTCCACCTTCTTAGCCGCCATAAAAAAAAAAAAATCTGATTTTTGCTTCAGAAATCAGCAACGATCCTTTCCTCCGGATGAAATTTTGCTGCTGAAATTTCAAAAAATCAGCCCTCCCGGTGGTCCCAAGACTTGCTCTGATACCAATTTGATAGGAAATACTTGAGTTCACAAGTAATCCTATCGGAAATATGTTAGACCGGTCCAGCCGGTCCGCACGAAACCAGCAGAGGCGCGAACAGGCGGGATCTCCGCCTCCTGCGGAGATCGGGCGGGCCGACAGCTCAAACAGAGCGTTTTTAGGAAGGATTTTTGGGAGGTTTCAGAGAGAAATTTGAATGTAGGGACTGTTTAGGGAATTCCTTTTGATTTGTATGCATTAAATAGTTGATTTTGCTAGGGTTTGAGTATCTTGAATTTGGCTGAAATTTGAGATCTCTTAGATTTAGGTTTCTTTGGGCTCTAGCGTCGTCTAGAGATTTGGGAGAGATCGATCCTCCTCTCGAATTGAGGATCAATTGTATCTTGCGGTTTTTATTCATCTACTAATGAAATACAAGCTTTCCTTTGAGTTTTCTCTCAGATTTTCCCGAACAAGTGCTGTTTTTCTGCTGTAAACAGCAGATTTCTGCTGTTTTCCTGCTGTGGACAGCCAGTTGGCTGCTGTTTGTTCGCCGATTTTGGTTAGGTTACTTGCGAACTCAAGTATTTCCTATCAAAATACTTGAGTTCGTAAGCCCTGACAATAAATTGGTAAAAACAGCAAGAAGAACACAAGAACCATAAAGAAAGCAACCCAAAACCAGTAGATTTTATTAGATAACTCAAAACAAAGCAACATAAGCAAAGATACAATTGATCCTCTATTCGAGAGGAGGATTGTTCTCTCCCATTATCTAGCCTTCTCTCCCAATCTCTAGACACTAAGTCTAGAGCCCAAGACACCCAAGAGACTCCAAGAGAAAATAATATTCAAGCATATTTTACCCCTTCCCTCTCATGCCTTTTTATAGCCTAAAATTTTCTAATTAAAAATTCCCTCCTAGCCCTAGCCATCCAACCCCCTTGCCAAAAATAGCTTAATTCAAATTAATTTAAATAGTGGACCCCACTATTATTGGGCGGCAAACAAATAGGGGCGTGGGCCCCTATGGCTTAGGCGGTTTGAACAGCCTCCTGTACACAAGGGCTAGCTAGGTCGGTTCATGAACCGACCTATCAACACACATGCACTGACTTCCTACATCCACCTTCGCATGCACAATACAATGCCACGAGAAAAAAAAATAGAAGAAGGATTTCAATGGAAGTTGCTAATGATTAAGAGTAGCATAAATACAAGAACTTAAGCCATAGTTGTATGGATAAAAACTTTAGAAAAAGATTAAAAGGTGCATCATTGGAAAATTATTGCATAAAATAGATTGTATGAACAAAATGTAGTTAAAAAAGCAAAAGGAAACAGGCTTAAAAATTTTTTATATGCGAATATTTATGCTCAGCAAAATCATGAATAGAAGAATTTAGCATGTGAACGGCAAGGCCTATAATTTACTGGCTTTCCCTTAAAAAATTTTAACATATAAATCATGTTGCCCTCCTTTGCTTTTAATACTAGCAACTGGAAAAGTAGTCTTATTAGAAGACTACAGAGATATCTGAGAGATTTCCAAGGTTGATGGGAATGAACATGGACTGCATCAAATTTCAGATTGAGTTTTGATAGTTTCATCACCTTCAGAATTCATTTTCAGTACACAGCATGCCATAACTAGTTGTTATACTTCAATGGAGGTAAGAGAATGAAAGATAGTTCCATATCAATTCACACTAAGTGAGTAAGTGGTGGTGTTAAACAGTTTCAAGAGATGAGTTCAGTTATAATCAATTTATAAGTGTATAAGGTTCTTAGTAAAGATGATAGACTATCATTCTGTCTCATATGGCTTACTCATGGCAGAACAATTTGCAAGTTTATTTTTAAAATAAATTTTCTAAGCTATAAAATTCATTAGGTTAAGGGTGGCATGAACATCTTCCTGTTAGTTGCAATTCTTGAAAGGGGCTTTTAAGTATCCTGTTTTAGGTCAGATTCAAGCCAGATTTAGCTTAAATCCATCCAAATAGATTTTTGGAAACTTTCAATCCTATTATTTTGATAAATCACTTTTTCACATAATTATTAGTTAAATCCACAATTTGTCAAATCCCATCATTTACCAGATTCATGGTTTAAAATTGCGCAACATGAGGCTCACATTGAGGCCCGCCTTTGCACAATTCCAGTAAAAAACGTCTCGATGCTTACGCCTCAAGTTTTTTTTATGAGGCTTGCGCCTCAACTTGGTTGAGGCCCGCCTCGCCTCATTGGCATGAGGCTTACGCCTCATGCTATATATATTAAAACTTGCATAAATCTTGAAGTAAATGCCCGACATTGGACTCTCTATGAGAGGAGGAAGGGGAGAGAGCAGTTCATCATAATGATGATTCAAATGAAGAACCCCTTAGTGATGATGACGACTTATGAGTTCTTATGTGATATTTCATTGCTATTTATTTTTGGAAATTTGAATTATATGTTAATGAAAAGAATACTAGGATTTGGGAAAGATAGAATTTTAAGTTGAACTATATTTCATGTTGTCTTATTATAGGGATATTTTGATTTCACTTCATATCTTATGCTTTTTATGTTTTATATTATTCACTTATTAGTATATAAAAAATGTATCATTTTATGTTTACGCAATATTTTGATTTTGATGCTTACGCCTCAAAACACCTTGAGGCTTACGCCTCGCCACACGAATGAAAAACGCCTCAATACCCGAATACGCAATTTTAAACATTGACCAGATTAAACACATTTTTTAAACTGAGATTAAAAACATTTAGTGGTTGTTTGGTTTGAAGAAAAGGAATGCAAAGTAAAAGGAATGCAAAGTAAAAGGAATGCAATGTAAAGTAAAAGTATTGTATTGAAAAAAATTTTGAGTTGTTTCGTTAAGTACACTACAAACACAACATTTCTTTTTGTTTAGTTTGAAATAAGGAAATGCAAAGTAAAATAGCAATGTATTTGGAACGATAGTTTATCAAAGGTGGACAATGGTAAGAGCAATGGCTAACGGCTAGCAGTGGCAAGCCGGAGCCGACAACGAGAGGCTACGATGGCAGCTGAGGCTGGTGGAAGCTAGCAGCTGCTGCTGCTAGCATTGAGTGGTGGTGGCAATCGCAACAAGCAGCAACGAGTGATGACTGGCATCACTTTTACCAATTCTCTCAAAGCACGCAAATTTCAAATATATTCAAAATGAAGTTTAGGGTGAATTACAAATTCACTCCTAAAATACTTATGCAATTGTCCAAACTACCAAATTTTCAAAAACCCTCTATTTACTTTACACTCAAATGATTACCAATCAAACAGCCCCTTAAGGATTTCTCCCTCACAAATTTTAAATCCTAAAACAAATAGTTAATTAGCTCATTGAGATTTAGCAAAATTTAACAATTTTCATGCCAAACAAATTTCAAGTTTTACTCCCCTCAAGATTTATTAAATCTGATTTACTAAACCCTGCTTGAGTTAAATCCTATTTTCACCCAAACAGCCCCTTACATCTCAAAAATTGAGCAAAAATAGGACTTCAAAAGCTGTAAGATTTACTTAACCAAAAAAAAAACTGTTAAACAAGATTCAACTCTAAATTCTTGTTGAGTCTCAAATCTTACACCAAAAAAGAAAAACTGTTCAGCAAGATTTACCCTATATTCTGTTTAAACTCATTCAAACCCTGCCACCAAAAACAGCAAATAAGAGTTGTCGAGCATCCAGTAAAATAGCCATTAGCCACCATAATTCGTGAAACTACACAACTTATCAAAGAAAAATCATAAAATGCTAATGCATAAATCATATTGACAAGTAATACGAAACAATAAGTAACCATCCGCACATGAAAGCCCTACATTTTACAAAAGAAACAACAGTAAGCATAACGTAGCCCTAAACAAAAGCACAAAGGAAGCACCTTCATTTTCCGCAGCAGAACCTAGAATGAGGCATGAAAGCCCTAGAATGCAGAGCTTTAAACCAAAGGCCTTCCACATTGTCCGCTTGCGAGTATCTTCAGTGAGAGAGAAGCTCGAAAAGAACAGAAAAAAGGGAGGAAAGCTGAGGGAGAGAGAGATCGGGAAAGGTTGCAATGATTGAGTTCAGTGGTGCGGCAACTCTCTTTAACCGAGGAATTAGGGCAGTAAGTGGGAATCACGCAGAATCGCACTAAACGGGAACGGAGATTTGTGAGACAGAAGAGAAGACATTAATGGATGTTTGCTTATAATAAATTCTGATCATAGCAGAACTTACAGAAAGTGGAGAAAGTTATGTACAGTTTGATTTCTTTTAATAATTTAAAAAGGAGATTTGCATAAGTACCCTTTATTTTTATTTATTTACATATATTTTCTTTAAATTTTAATATTTATTTATATAACGTGCAAATCATTAATCACATCAAAATGTTATTTATATTAATTTTATTAATACGAAATATATTATATAAATTAAAATTAAAATTTATGTATTAGATATGTATATTTATATAATATATATGATAAAATATATCATTTAATTAGTTTTAGTTTTATTTTTTAATTATTCAAAATGAAATTTAAGTTTAGGAAAATGAATATTTATCTGTAACATTAGTTGTGAAAAGTTATTAAGAATTTTATTTTAAAATTTATTTTCAATATTATTTATTTTAAAAAAATGGTTAATAATACGCTCATAATTTAGTAATTTGGCTTGAAAAAGCTCTATTTTATTACAAATTTGTTTGAAAAAATAACAAATTATAGTAAAAAATAGAAATATTAAAATTTATTTCTATTTAAAACACATTTATAGCTAAAACCATTTGATTTGATATATTATTAGCATAAATTTTGATTAATTATTCCTTAATAAAAAAAAATTTAATAGCTTTCAAACCCACCCTATCTCAAATATTTTCTTACAATTATAAATTTATATTTAATAAATCTTAAGAAAATTAAAATAAAATAGATATTTGACATAATAAGTATTAAATCTTATTAAACACTGATAATTTTTTTATTTTAGAATTTAAAATTTATGATGGTTGAAATTTTAAAATCTTGTGAATAATGATATTTAACAAATCACAAATGTAATTAATAATATACTCAAAATAAAATTTATCAAAATAATAAAATTGAAAGACCACAAAATATTAGATCATCTCCAACCGTTCGGCAAACAGCCGAATGGAGGCCCTCAAACGTCGCAACCGAACGTCATTTCTTCCTCCATTTGATCGCAGTTGAACAGTGCAACGTAAATATTGGCGTCGCACTGTTTACTTGTGCCATTTCTTTCTCTCTACCGAACTTGTCTGAGAAAGACGCGAAAGAAACGGTGTTCCACTGGAGAAGAATCACGACACTTTTTGATTTTACTGCATTTTGCAGTGAAAAATCAGAGTTTCGGTTGGAGATGCCCTTATTTGATAGGACTTAAGACCTTATTAAGCATAGAAAAGAATACATATAATATAAAAAAAAAATAGAAAAGAAAGCTATAATATGACCAAAGTTAAGAATCTGATAATTCAACATTGTTCAAAAACAGAAATTAAATGCACAACAAAAGTCATTATTTTTACATATTCTCAACAAAGAATAAAGAAAGAAAAACAACAATGAAATCCTTTGAAGAACTAATTACTTGCAATGGAATAATAAATATTTAAGCCTTGGAAGCCTCAGAAGGCTCCTCCTTCAAGCTCTCCTCGCTCTTCACATTCTTCTCTGCTTCATCTTCCTTCTCCTTCTTGTCGCTCTCACCTTCTTCTGCTTCAATGGCTTTGGACTCCTCCGGCTTTGTTTCCGACTCGTCGGTCGTCGCTGCTTCCTTCTTCTCCTTCTCCTCCTCCTCTACCGTCTCTGTCGGCTCTGCTGCTTCAGCCTGTCAAGCAATAATGAAGGCATTTGATGCACAATATAAGAGAAAATAGCAAAGCATTGAGACATATAAGTTTAATTAATAGAACAATTGTCATAGAAAGTGAAATATAAATTTAGAATAAATAAAAAATCAAAATTTATAATACTTGCCCTTACTTTAGAATAAATAAAACTCGATTTCTCAATAACTGATCAAAAATTAAACTATACTACTTTTTATTGTGTGCAGATATTGGACACAGAGAACCGTTCGGATTTCTCTGTCTACAATTAAAGCGTAGCTGCTACAGATTACAGTAACTGCAATTTGACTATAGACACAGAGAAGTCCGGACGTTTCTCTACCGTTTGGTGTCCGCACAGTAATATCTCTGACTAGACATATTATAGTTATGAGTAACCTCTTGGGGAGCGACGGGCTCGGTGGCCTTGTCGGTCTCCTCGGGGGCAACAACGGTGTCGACTACAGGCTCCTCTGGAGCCTGTCCCTTAATGTCCTTGGGTATGCTTGCACAGGCACCCATGGACTTTTACTTGGAGGAAAAGAATTAGAGGATTTGAAGTAATATTGAGACGATTCTCAATAGTAATGAAGAATGGGTTATTAGGGGAAGAGAGAAATTGCTTAATTTATAGACTTGGGATTTCTAAATATAAGCTTTGGATTGTTTGGTAGAGCTTTTTTATAGGGAACTTAGGCATCTTAACTATGTCTGCTATGGCTAGAATTAGAAAATATAAATTTAACCTTTTTTCTATTTTTTTTTAATTCTAAAATGAGCAAAACAAACAATAATTTTGTTTGTGCCAACACAAGCAATTATACTTGTATTTTTTTAATTTTCAAAATATTAGAAATTGCCTTCTTTTTACTATTAACAGAACACAATGGAGAAAAATGATTCATGTTACTGACCCCACGCAGTGGGATAAAGCCTTGATATTGTTGTTGTGCATTTTCTTAAAAATTAAATATATTTTGAAAATAAATAGAATTATAATTTAAATTGTTTTAATGAGTTTTTTTTTCCCTTTTAATAGGCTTATGCATTGATGAACTAAGCCTTATTATGGGATATGTGGTTTTTTCCAGGCTGGATAGAAGATTAAAACAGAAGGATAAAGCCTATATTTGTCAAGTATAATAATTAAATATTATTTTACAAAAATATTTATCAATTATTTGATTTTTTTTTTCTTGAAAATTTTAGATATCATAAATTTTTTTTGTGCTAAAATGTAATGTACCTAAAATAGAAAGTGTTGGCTTTAATTATCATAATATCATTATATTCTTAGGATGTGTTTCAAAACTAATGTTTTGCTTTGAGATGAGTGTAATATAAATTATTTATATATTATAAAGGTGTCAATTTTTTACACGAACCGAAACACGACCCGAACCCGACTTGGAAAAATCCGGGTTAGGGTCAACCCGGACCCGAAACGCGTCGGGTTCGGGTTCAACAAATCTACCTGTTTTAAAAATCGGGTCGGGTTTGGGTTGACCCAGCAACCCGAAAATGACCTAAAATTGACACAAAAACTTCTATTTGACCCGAAAATCCGAGATTGACCCGTTTTGACCCAATTTTGACCAAAAAATTAGCAATTTTAGGTCAACTTCGGGTCATTCGTGTAATCTCGGGCTGACACGGACCCGAATCGGGTCGGGTTCGGGTCCAGAAACCTGACCCGTTTTTAAAAACGGGTCTGGTTCGAGTTGACCCAAACAATGACGGGTCAGTTCCGGGTTCGACTTGAACCCGACCCGCTGACCCGAATTAACACCCCTTTATATTACACAAATCTCAAAGTAAATCGAACAGATTTTAGACCTATGGTATTAAAAATCTCTCAGGATATCTTGAACTAATTTCTTTTTTCATGTTTAAGAGAAAAATGTAAATTTATTAAAGCCTTAGCATTTTATTCGATTAAAACTCGATGAAATATTCATATAAGATTTGATTATAAATTTATTTAATATATATGAGCTTATTATTCTTTTAATATTATATTATTTTAATATATTATGATATAATTATTAAAATGATTGTTCATATAATAATTCATTGAATAAATATCTCCTTGTTAATCTCAATAGATTGTTCACCTAAATTTTCAAACATTAAAATAAAAGCCACACCAAACTTTTCACATATTAACATAATAGATATGGATAAATCAAATAGAATCCCAAATATTTTTTTATTATTATTATTTTAAATAGAATCCCAAATATCACAACTAGCTTGTGAGCATAATAGGGATGGGTCCCACTTAAATCTCATTCCAAAACTCAATTATTGATTGATGTAAGCAATTAGGTTAGGTTAGCCCTCAAGTAGGGGTGCAAAGGAGTCGAGTCAAGTTCGAGCCAGAGGATGTTCCAGTCAAGCTCGATGGCAAAATATTGAGCTCAAGCTCTACTCGTCTCACGTCAAGCTCCTGTGAAAGCAAGTTTTTCTTTTGTTTTCCTTCCAGGTTTGTCTGGACGAAGTGGAGTTCGTCCGGGACGATTACTTATAAATTTGGTGACAGAGAGATTTGTCCCAGGGCGAAGGTAGGTTCGTCCGTACAAAATTTTTCCATAGAACAACTCGTCCAGGGGCGAAAGAATTGGAATTAATTTTCGTCTGTACGATTTTTGTCCAGAGAAGATCGTCCCGGGACGAACGAAGAGCATCGTCCTGGACGATCCTGTTTGATAAATATCTGAATAGTGTCATTTTTGAAGAAAGAGAAAGGGCATGAGAGAGAAACGAAGAAAGAGGAAGAAAAAGTGAATTTTGGGCGACTTTGGTTCGTTTTCGTCCGTCGCCGTAGTTGGGAAAGTTGATTGACTCGAGGTAAGGCACATTATGCCTTTCTCAATTTTCATCCTTATTATCTGCGTGATTTTCAGGTTCTAGAAAAGGGAATGATGTGTTGGACTAGCCGTTCAGTATCTAATCTGAGATTAGATATTTTTGTCACTTTTGATTTTTATGCGGTCATGGATATTCTGTTCTTCTGTTCTGCTCTTTCTTTTTGTAGCCATGCACTGTATTGTACATGATTATTTTGAAAATGAGAAGAAAGAAAATGTTAGATGAATTTATGTATATTGAAAGTTTAATAATGGCTATGTGTTTTCTATCTATTTGATTATTGGAAGAAAGTCTGAAACCAAATTCCAAAGCTAGATCGTGGATTCATCCGTCACGACTCGACACGATGGGATTCGTTCCGGTCGGGTTGGGTCATGAAAGCTCCTTCCCGACCTCCGTCGTCGAGCGTCACCCCAAGCAGGCAAGCAGCACACAAGCTTCATCGATCATCAAGCTTCGTCATCCTGAGCATGCTATCCCCAACTAGCAACACACCAGCTCTGACCTCCGTTGTCCCAAACGATGTGGTCGAGCTCTACCGTCCCAAACAAGCTTTGTCTCATCCGCTATCATCCGGAGCTTCATCGTCGAGCAACACGCTAGCTGTCTCTTCGGTTTTCCAGCCCGGCCTTCGCCCCCTCAAACCAAAGTTTCGTTTTCCAGCCCGGTCACCTCCGCGAACTACTCGACGAGCTGACAAGTATAACAGAGTTTTGTTCGAGCTCGATAAGCCGTCAAGCTCGAATTCGCATTTGAGCTCGATTCGTCGAGCTTGTTACAGAGCCAGCCCGCAATCAACTTGACTAGGTTACACCCCTACCCTCAAGTGATGCACAAACCGAGCCCGCCCCGCATATTGATAAAAAGGGTTTTCCGGTTCAACAAAACAAGCACTAACAACTGAAGCTCAAGCCCTTTTCAAGCACAGGTAAACATCTAAAAAAAAAAAAAGTTTTGCAATATATACAACAAAAAAGATTGGTATGACCAACAGACCAAGCGTCAGTAACAACTATCTTAACAACAGTCAAGTATTCTTTCTTGTAAACTCTTCCAACACATCAGTACTTCAATCTTAAATCTGTGATATTTCTTAGAACACAAAGAAATAACTATCAAGCAAACAGTTAGAAACATTGATCTCCTGTAGCTTAGTCTCAACTCATCATAGTTAAACACTATTATTAGTATCAATCTCAATCAGAAATCTAACGAACGAACCACCTGTGGATTCACAGAGGCAGCGATTTGACTGTACAGGAGGAGGATCTGGTTAGACTTGGCGAACAAATTGCCCCCTTACTCGAGGACGTTGTTCGGCTAGCTTTTTCCTGCTTAGGTAGCGCACCTGGTACAGAGAGGAAGGTTAGATTATTGGTCAGCACTTTCAAACGGTTTATTAGGCTTAAAATTGGAATATATATGTCATGAAAACCTCCATGGAGACAGAATGGACCGTTAAAGTTAGGAGAAATTATTATGTGCGGACACCATATGGAGACACACCATATGGAGAGAACTGTCTGAATTTGCTACGTTTTCACTGCCCTTCTGTTGAGCTTTTGCAAAAAAGACCGTAAAAATGCAGCAAATATTCAATTATGAATGCATTTTTACTGTCATTGTGTCGTGCTTTTATAAATACTTAGTAAAAACGCAGCAAAAAGACCGCAAAAATGTAATAAATCCGTACAATTCTCTGTCTGATGTCCGCACATAATAAGTAGTCTAAAGCTAGGGGGTAATTTCAGATTTAGAAAATATTGAGATGGGTAAAACTAGAAGATTGTTTGATATGATAATTACTATTTGTGTTAAATTATGATAAATTGTTTGGTTGTTTGTTGCAAGATTTAAGATTTATGAGAAGAGAAATGCTTCAATTCATTAAGGATTTATAAAAAAATAATAATTTAACTAATTAAGGGGTTAAAACAGGACTTAAAAATCCCAAAAATTATGTTTGGCAGAATTTAAGCTGAATCATTGCTTAATTCCTGCCTAAAATAGGACACCAAACTGCCCCTTAGAGTAGAATTATTCTGTGCGGAAATCGGACGCAGAACGTCAACAGGAGACCAAACAGGCAACCAGAATGCGCCACATCTGCGGTACCGAACGTTACCGAGCAATACCGAGCGCACGGGTGACGTGGCGTCCGCACAGAATAATTAATCCCCTTAGAGATACAGGAAAGAAATTTAACTGCAAGCATTGCTTTAAAACAACATGAAGAAGTCAAAACAATAACCCAAAAAGCCAAAGCTGAATTAATAAGGATAAGGTAACAGTGATGGTTGATGATTGAAGGCAAAACCACACTGGCTGAAGAAAAGATCTAACGATAAAGAAAGTTCTCAGTTACCAAAAACTTGATTGTGCGAAAGAAGGATTTTGAAGTCTATCATTGTTTTGCTATAAATAAGAAGTTAGAACACACCTTTTTCTCAAAGCATCTTTCCTTTCTCTTCAACCGGAATTTGTTCAAAGCGACTTCTCTTTGGCTCAAATGACTTTGATTGGCCGACTTAAGTTCCCCAATGAACTGAAAAGAATCGTCATCTCCGGACCTTGCACTGGATTCACAAGTATTGAATGTGGTGACAGGTCTATTAATTTCATTAGAAGCACCAGTTGATCCATTCTCATTCAGATTATATCTGCTGTCATTACAAACACTATCGCTATCCCCAGTTACAGCTGAAAAATGTCTTTGTTCGTCAACCATCATAGCTTCTTCCTGCTTATGATGACCTTGGAAGTCATGGCTTTCGAGAGAAAAATGTTCTGTAAAAGTCCCCTGTAATGTGGAAGGCATGGGGCACCAGAAAGGTGGAGCTGATTGTGGATAAAATATGGACTGTAAGAGGGGATTAGATCCAGCGCAGATCTCTCCAACAGGAACAGGGAAGGGAACTAGTCGAATCGGAGTACAAGGAAATGCTGCAGTTCCTTCCTGACTGGAAAGTGTGGCATCATTCATAAACTTGGTTTTATCAGGTTCAGGAATCAAACCATTATAATGTAGAGGATTGACAGTAGATTGATAAGGTGACAGCTCAGTAGAACCATTACAACTTCCTTTGTTTTGCGCTTGAAAATTGGGAACCGCTGTACTGTTGTTTGTGTAACTGCGACACAAAAAACATAAAAAGTAAAATTAAATGAAATAATAATGGCATTAAACATGGGAGAACTAGTCATTCTGCGACAAAATAAGCATATTAAAATAGATTTCCAACTTTATATTTGAATACTACATGCGGACGCAAACGCAGCACAATAGGAGGACAACCAACACTCTTCCCACTTTTTTGATAACACCATAACCATTTAATCAAATTTTTGACAATAAATTTGGAACAAATCGTTTAAAACAATCACATGCTATACTTTCGTTTGGCTTTTTTATTGTTTCTTAAAACAACTTTTTGATACAAAAAGATGCTTTAATAAACAATAAAAAGTTGTCCCAAGCGATGCCTATAGCACTGTGAAGAATAAATTTTCAAATTCTAAGTGTAGTTCTTAAGTTGGTCCTTATTTACCATCATAAATAATCTAAATTGCTAAAAAAATTATCAATTTTAGTAGGAAATAGTGCAAGATAATATAGCAAAACCATGGGAAACTAAAATACTTGTTCTTTATTAAAAAATATAAATAAAGCTGAATGGAGAGCGAGAACAACCAATTAATGGAATTCAATGAGAAAACCAATAAATTCATAATCTAGAATATAAAAAAAAATGATTTCATATACAATTGCCCGTTATATATGGGACAAAATTCTGATATTAAGGCTTCGTTCGTTACCGGTGCCTTTTGGAAAAGATAGTTTTAAAAGCATTAGTGAAATGAATAGAGTTTTGTAATGAAGAAGCACATATCAAAAAGCTTCTAAAAATAATAAAGAAACACTGTTTTGTAGAAAGCATTTTAAAAAAATGTCACATTCAAACAGAAATCAATAAATAACTTCTCCGCTTCAAAACGGAAAAGGCAAAATTAAGCCGTTCCAAACAAGGCTAAGAGGTACTACAGAAAAAATCGAACTAATTGACAGTGTAAATATTTAGGTATAATGTGATATGAAAATTCAGCAAATTAAACACTTCATTTGAAGGTAAGATGGTTGCATAAAGGAAAATGTACGCACATTGAAAAAGCTGAGGAATTTGAATGATGCAATGTATTTGACCCATCATTCTCTTGCTTATTGGGATTATCATGGGAGTATCCATCCAAAGAAAGTTCAAGAGAAGGCATGGAGCTCGACTTCTTTTCCAACTCTATATCACGAGAGTTCTCAGAAATACAAATACGCTTTGGCTGCTTATTAATTACTTCAATCAGATCAACCAATTCTGTAGAAGACTCATCCCGATCCACCTCTTGGCAATTGGTCTGTCCTTCTGGTTGTATATCGCTACCTAATGATATAACTCCTGCATATCAAAAGCCATATTAATATAAAATGAATTTAGTTGCATACTCTCAGCTATTAATAGTAAAATCATTGATTATATTACAAAGGATCCAGATTTAAACTCATTTTTTACAACAGCAAAAAAGAAATATCCATTAATAACAAATAGCAAAGATTACCGTTGGATTCATCATTTTGAAATAGGGAAATGCCATCCGACTGTTTCTCGAAATGATTATTAGGAATAATTAGATCATCAAAAAGAGATAAATTTCTGTGTCGTGCTTGATTAAGCTCCATATTGTTTCGTAGCTTGCATGTACTCTCAACTTCCATATCTGACCTTGTACAAGAGCTCTGTATAAGACACGGTAAGAATGAAAATGAGCACATCAAGCTACTATGCAAATGACTGGAAGACGAAATTAGAGCGGGTTATACAACAGATGATGACATTTGATCTTAAAAGGGTAAGGGATCATTGATGTAGATTATTTTTACCAATATTTGTGAATTGAAAACTTCAATTTCTATTTAAAATGTAACAACAAAAGATCCTCAATTAGGGGCATAGAACAAGTGTTTCAAACTTCAAAAAGTTTATATTTATAATGGGATTCAATAGGCTGATCATAAAGCCCATTTAAAATATAATCTATTTTTTCAATAAAATTAATGTAGAACTCCATTTTTTAGTTGAATCAAAACAACAAAGCTATTCAAGTCAAGTTTCAAGCAAGAGTTTCAAAGTAGAAAAACCTTTTGAATTGGCATCTAATTTTTCATAGTTTAAGAAAAAAATGATTTGAATCAGTTTTTGAACGTTAATAATATTCACATATATTTGATACATAATATTAAAAAAAAAAATTGGTTTATAAGAGTTTATGAATTCAAACCATACCTACAACATTATTTATTTCAATTTCAAGCTGCAGAGCAGATGTTAAATGAAGGGGTGAATTAGGGTATTTTAATAATAAATGGGCAGATGGCCAGACATTCAGCCCACTAAGGCTAGCTCATTCAATCTCATTCCCATTAGGCTAGCCCATGAAGGCTTTCGAGTGTTGACTCAAAGGCTTATAACTTGGCCAAACCCTATTGATAGCCTTACCCTCGCCAAAAATAAGTTTAACAAATCATAACGTGCATGGTAAATAGAAATTTTGAGATTTCACATTTGTAATTAAGCTTGCTTGCATAACGATTGTTTTCCTTGTACTCCTCTGGGTGCAGGTTCACTTGGAACAAATAATTATTTGTGAGGTAAATCTTTAAAATATGAAAGAGATCAAAATTACTCATTCTTGTGAGTGATAACGTACAAGGATTGTGTGCTTCATCCACAAAGTAGTCTTAGTGGAAACAGTACAATAAAGGACTTGGGGAGGGATTTAAGCTTGGCAAGAATCCGAAGCACTTTAAATCCGAAGACTCCTTAACTCATGTGATGTTTTGGAATCCATGTCTCTACTTAACCTCAAGTGGAACCTCCTCTTCTCTTTGGGTAAACATTACTTAGTACTTAACATGCATAAAACATTAATTGCCGGTTTGACCAATAAGCATTAAACATTAAACAAAACAGCATGAAAATCACAGCCATTTTGCATAAAGCATGAGGGAATAAAACTTCAGTATAAAAGCATTAACTCAGATTACTAGTTTTCTACAATCAGTTTATTCTCCTGAATGATTAATTAGCATTTCAAATGATTCCATAAACAGTTTTGTATGCATAGTTTAAATATTTTGAGTCTAACTTTGAAGAATAACTCACTTGAGCATCACTTTCTTTCTCGCAGCAATCCACATCATCTTGGTCATTGGTTGCATTCTTAGTTCGACAATGATCATAACATGAGTCAACCATTTCATTCCGAGTTACAGCAATTTCACCCTGATGCTAAGAAAACAAAATGTTGTGATCACTTAGCTGGTAAATAAAATAAATCCTCAGCAGAAAATGAATGTTTGTACACAACATACAGAGATAAAAATAACAAGTTCCTTATAAATTAAGATGTATAGCTAGAAGATACCTTTCGTTTTCTCCAAACATGTTGCCAGAGATTTTTCAATTCATTCTTCCTGATAGGCTTCACAAGGAAGTCTGCTGCACCTTTTATCATACATTTGAAGGCTATGCTAACAGAATCATTTGATGACATCACTGCATGAATAAAAATAAGTAAATTAAAAAAAAAAAACAAAAAAGAGTAATTGTGCTTCTAAAGAGATAAAGGAAAATTTATATATATACCACTTTATTTCATGCTATTTATATATTTAACACCCAAAACATTAATATTACATGCCTACAATCCATAGAACATATATGGATGCATGGAATGAAGTATTAAAGTTCGTAGTGTTATGAGTGGTGGGAATGAAATATAGGAGTGGTATATTTGATATTACAGTAGTATATGGATGGTATACATGTAATATTAATGTTTTTGGTGTTAGATATATAAATAGCATGAAATAAAGTGGTATGCATGTAAATCCCTCAAAGATAAATTATTAAGTTATATAAATAATATAAAAGAGACATGGCACATACTTATAACGGGTATGTGGTTGCAGCTTTCTTGTTCCATCATCATGGTTAGAAGGACAACTCCAGAAATCTTAGGTAATTCAACCTCTGTAAGAACAAGGTCAATATTATGATCTTTCTCCTTCAGGGTCTCCCATGCCTTCAATCCATCAGATGCTACCATAACTGCTAATAAAGAACAGGACAAAAACAAGAAAAATATTAGAAACATCTGAAACTGGACTTGAAGCTTATTCCAGCTAAAGAATACACACAATCATGCTCCAAATAAAAGAAGATAGCAAGACTCTTTTAAAAATCTTGAGAAGGTTAAACTAGGAGGAATAAAAGACCAATGAGGTTTAGGAGAAGATCAACATAAGCTAAAGGAAATTATATATAACCCATCAATCCTACTTGTATACAAAACCCTCCAAGTCAGTTCAAAGCAGACTTAAACATCAATCTTCAGCCAATAATTTAATGAATTAAGTTTTGGTGCCAATTTTATGAAAAATTAGAAATTGTGAAATCTAAAACTAGAAATAACTCAGCAATCCTACTTCTATGCTATGCTGCCAGTCCCTCCATGTTTCTAGTAAGCAGATTTAACCATTATTCTTCAGAAAAAAAAAAATTATTAAACCTAAGTTACCAAATTCATAAGTTAGCATCACAGCCATTTGAACCTCATTCTCGAAGCCTATTAGTGCTAACCAACCGAGATAATCCCCCCATCTGCAATTCTTCTGTACATAATTTTCGAAAAAAGAAAAAAATCTATACGTAAATGGAAAACAAAGCACAAAAAACGTACCCAAACAACCTAAAATTTGCATCGGAGCTTCTGAAATCCTACACATATGCCAACAAAACAGCTAAAAAAGATGGATCCAAGCATAACCACTTTGAGAAGATGAAATATTAGTTTGAATAAACTATGACCAATTTCATAACAACCATCATCGCAAAATCTTTGAAATCCCCAAACTAATAATTACAAACACAAATCAACGCCTGCTTTTCAAAATTTCCAAAACAAACCCAACACTCTCAAGATCTCAAAATTAACACATTACGACTAAACAATCGGTCTGCATCCAAATCCTAGGCAAACAACAGAAACGGGCCAGCTCAATCCAGTCCATTTCCTAACTAAGATTAAACAACTACCAACAAAGCAACTCGATCCATCCTTCTCCAAACAATCACTAAACCGAATAAGAAACCTGATCATAAACTTCAGCGAAAGAGGATCAAGTGAAAAAAGAAGACGCAAACCTCTATAACCGCACTTGCGTAGCAGAGCAGCAATGATCTGCCTCGTAGAATCATCCCGCTCGACTAGAAGAACCCTCACGGGTTCCCTAAGCAACAACTTCTCCCATGTCACTTCCTCGCCTTGTTCCTCTACCTCCTCCGATCCCAAAGCCTTGTTTACTTCTTCTCCTCCCATTCTCTCTTCAGTTCTTCGGTTCTCTCTCCCCTCTGTGGTCTATATGGACATTTCGTCGAACAATTAGGCTGCATCGTGTAACCGCCTCAGCGCTCGACCATTACGGAAATATCTCCGCCTTTGCATCTCTTCGTCTCGCGAAGAATGACATAATGACACGTCGCTGCGTCTTTATAATTTACTAAAAAAAAAATTAATTTTTTGTTTACTGAAAAAAAATTCCGCCATTTAGACACCTAGCTATCTTTCAAAAAAAATTTAGACACTTAGCTATGCTAATAAAATATTATTAAAAATTAATAATAAACGTGGAGCTACATACACAAGATAGAGATCCATGGCTATATACTCATCAAATCGATAAATTATTATGTGTGGTACCGAATGATCTAAAGCTGAATCAGAATCAGAATTCATCATATCATTCGATATTAAGCGGTACACAGAAAAAAAAATAGTATGACGTGTTCTCATTCATCTTTGGACGTCATTCGATGACAGCATAGAATAAATTTTTCATCATATGGGTGTTAATAAATGACCTGATCCATCAATTTGATTGAGATATGATCCTAAATTTGAATTGACTTGTTTAATAAACTCATTAAATTTAGATCTACTTCTTGATGTGTTGTTGTTAAACGGGTCGAATTAGAGTTGATCGGATTCAAGTCGAGTCAAATTTGGGTAGGACTCAAATATGACCTATTAACTCGTTTTGACACGCTACTACTATTCTATATACATAATTTTACGTATATTTCTTACATCTAAGCAACTTTTCGCTGCTATAGTAGTAAGAAGTAATTTTTCGATGCATAATTGATATAAATAATGAAAATCAGCAGTAAAGTAATAGTTAAATGAAATTATATTTTTTATCTGAAAATAAATCAGGAAGTAAATGTATTCCAAACATATCATTAGTTTTTTGCAATTCCAACTATAATAAGCAAAATAAATATATAGTAAGAGAAAAAACACTATGGCAATATATCTTAATTAAAAATATTGAAAAATGCTTTCATGTATATAAATTTGTTTTAAAATCTGTATAATATATAATAATTTGTATTACATGCATCTTAAAGCAGATCCAATAATTTTAAAAATTATCATATTTTATTTTTAAATATAAACTCCTATTGTTATCTACAGGAAGAGAGAGAGAGAGAGAGAGGATGCCACGTCGACAGATCCGAAGGAGGGAAACTAGTGGTTCACGTGGAGCCCACAATGACGTGGCGCAAGGGAGGCCACAGACGGTGATATTGTGGAGCGGAGGAAGCCGGGCGGACCATGTGTTTCAGCCGGCCGGAGGCAGATATTTTGAATATCGATGCGACGTGGACGGTTAGGATCTGATCGGCGGGAATCTAAGGACAGGGATGCGCCATGTGGTTGGTAGAAGAAGCTTCCAGAGGTATGCGGCTGTGAAGGAGTCTGCCATACGTTTGCTTTTTCTCTGGATATTGTGTGGTGTCACACTCGATCTTCTCAGCCGCCCAAAATTTTTTATCTTTTTTTAGAAAATATCTTGCGTTAGAGGTCGAAGGTGTTGCCTTAGAGCCACATGTTTTAGTTCATACCAAAAAAAAAAAAATCAATTTAGCTTATTTAAATTCAATCAAATAATATCAAATATATTATATTTCTTTTTACATTATATTATATTTTATATTTTTACTTGCATTTATTTTTCATCCCATCTAATCTACCCTAAATCCATTGTATTTGATAAACATATTATCATAATTTATATATCATTTAAAATTACCTTGATTTGGCATGAATCTCACGGCGGATTTAAATCAAAACTTTTTAATAATTGATTTATGATCATCTAAGCTCTGATTTCAACAAATTTATAGTTGAATCAAGTGGTTCGACGGGACTAACCCAACCACACTAAAATCGGTCAAACGTGAACCCAAATGGGCCAAATAGAAGGATGAAAGGGTACTTGGAAACCTTAAAGCATTAATTGCATAACCAAATAGCTTCAGAATATGACATGATTATAGTCAAATAGAGTGGCTTGACATGACGAATCCAACGAGCCTAAGATCAACAAATTTGGCCATCATTAAAGCACTTAAATGCTCGATCAATGATTTTATGATTGAATGAATCAATATTGGTCATTCATCCTAACACTCCCAAAATGCCCTTGATTGTCTTGCTGCCGCAAACTTCTAATTCATCGGACAAGGACAATACTGATCCTGCCGCCATGTACATTGTGTCGGGAACCAGCCTTATACACTCTTGGCAAGAGAACTCGCCTATGTTTGCACTTATAGCCGGAGCAATAGGTCCTGACCCAGTACCAACTAGTGTTCCGTCCGAGGTCCAAGCCATACTTCAGCGATTCGCTGACATTTGGCCTACCGAATTACCTGATTCTCTACCGCCTCTGAGGGAGCTGCAACACCAGATTGATTTTCAACCAGGGGCGACACTTCCTAATCTCCCACATTATAAAATGAGTCCACAAGAACATACGGCCTTGAGGAATATCATTGATGAATTACTACATAAGAAGCTAATCCAACCTAGTATGAGCCCTTGTGACGTACCGGCTCTACTAGTACCGAAGAAAGACGGTAGCTGGCGACTATGTATTGATAGCCGAGCTATCAATAAAATTACGATGAAGTACCGGTTTCCCGTACCTCGTCTAGAAGACATGCTGGACAAACTGGTGGGCGCCACCATCTTCTCTAAGCTGGATCTTAGGAGCGGCTACCACCAGATACGAATCAGGCCGGGTGACGAGTGGAAGACGACGTTCAAGACTCGGGATGGCTTATTTGAATGGCGCGTCATGCCATTCGGTCTCTGCAACGCACCGGCTACATTTATGAGGTTAATGAACGATATACTCCGACCTGCTCTGGGAAAATATTGCGTCGTCTACTTTGACGACATCCTCGTATTCAGTTCCACCCTCCAAGCTCATTTACAGCATCTCACTTCTATTTTTGAAAATTTGAGAACTCATAAACTCTACCTTAATCTCCCAAATGTGAGTTTGCAACAGGATCTGTACATTTCCTAGGATTTGTCATTTCCAGCATGGGCATTCATATGGACTCACAGAAAGTATCGGCCATCACACAGTGGCCTATTCCGCATTCAGCAACTGAGGTGCGAAGCTTCATTGGTCTAGCAAACTTTTATCGCCGATTCATTCACGGGTTCAGTCTCATTGTAGCTCCAATCACAGACTGCCTCAAGAACAAAATCTTCCAATGGACGGCGGCACAACAGGGCAGCTTTGAAGCCATCAAGGCAGCGTTAAGCTCTACGCCCGTACTTACTGTGCCTGACTTCTCCAAACCATTTCAGGTGGACACCGATGCTTCCTCTATAGGCATTGGAGCGGTACTTTCTAAGGAGGATCGGCCCATTTAATTCTTGGAAAATTTACATACATACCACTTTATAACATCCTATTTATATATCTAACACCTAAAATTTTAATATTACATGAATACCACCCTATATTATTTTAATATCAAATATACCACTTACATTTCTTTCCTACCAGTCATATATTTCATTTCTACCACTCATATTTGATATGAAAATGAACTATGGGTGGTATGTATGTAATATTAAAATTTTAGGTGTTAAATATGTAAATAGCATAGTATTAAGTGGTATGTATGTAAATCTCCCTTAATTCTTTAGCGAAAAGCTGAGCGCGGCGCGTCAAAACTGGTCGGCATACGAGCAAGAATTATATGCCGTTATTCGAGCTTTAAAACAGTGGAAACACTATCTTTTACATCAAGACTTCGTCTTGAATACTGATAATCATGCAGTCCAGTTCATCAATAATCAGAAAACAGTAAATAAAATACACGCCCGCTTGATCACTTTCTTACAGAAGTTTAGCTTTGTACTTCGCCATAAATCTGGGTCTCAAAACCGCGTAGCCGATGCACTTAGCCGCCGAACGGCGTTACTCACTCAGCTACAAACAGATATGCAGGGAATTCAGTCTTTACAAGAACTGTATACGGATGATAAGGACTTCGCGAAACCTTGGACCAAACTGATGCAAGAACCACTGAATCCTGTAGGCGATTTCTCCATTCGGCATGATTTCTTACTCAAGGGAAATCAGCTATGTGTCCCGGAATCATCCTGGCGAGAACACCTGATTAAAGAGCTTCACAGTGGTGGTCTGGCAGCACATGTGGGACAAACGAAGACTTTAGAGCAGGTGCAGCATCATTTTTACTGGCCCCACCTTCTCCGCGACGTAATTCATTTTGTAGAACGTTGTCCGGTCTGTCAAAGCTATAAGGGCAATGCACAAAATACAGGACTTTACTCCCCCTTACCGGTGCCGCAATCCATATGGGAAGACCTGAGTATGGATTTTGTATTGGGATTACCTCGCACAAAACGGGGAGCTAATTCGATTATGGTGGTCGTAGATCGATTCTAAAAAATGTCTCATTTTCTTCCCTGCAAGAAAACCTTCGATGCTTTAAACGTCGTCATTCTCTTCTTCAAAGAGATCGTTCGTTTACACGGAATACCTCGCAGCATAACGTCCGACCGCGACGTAAAATTTATTAGCCATTTTTGGAAGGAATTGTGGAAGCGGCTGTAAACTGAAATCAAACTGAGTTCAGCTTATCATCCTCAATCCGATGGCCAAACCGAAGTGGTCAATCGGACGCTCGGCAATATGCTTCGGTGTTTAGCTCACGAACACCCAAAACAGTGGGACGACTATCTCGGCCAAGCTGAGTTTGCATATAACTCCATGGCCAATCGGTCTACCGGACAGTGCCCCTTCAGTATTGTATACACGAAGACACCAAATCATGTGGTAGACGTCACAGTTCTACCACAATGTCGCAGTAAATCCACTGTCAAGACATCTGAAGAGTATACCAAGATATTGACTGAGATTAGACTCAAATTGGAAGCCGCTAATGAGGATTACAAACACGCTGCCGACGCCAAACGCCGCTTGAAAGTGTACAATCCAGGAGATCTAGTAATGGTCCGTATCCGCAAGGAAAGATTACCGCCGTGCACCTTTGCAAAATTGAGCCCGCGCAAAATTGATCCTATACCAATTCTTCGGCGAATCAACAACAATGCTTATGTTGTTGATCTTCCACCACAATTCT